ATTCTAAAAAAAAAAAAAACAAACACACACGTGTGCTAAAGGTCATCCATTCATTGGACAGAAATTCTCAAGTGTACCAGAGTTCGTTTGGAAGCGGACCGAGACCACCTCTTCAGCTGGGTCTCGGTGCAGTTGTTTGGTCCACACCTGAGTGCAATTGCTGTATTCACACCTGCCCAAAAGATCCGCACCAAGGGGGTAAAATGAACTTGAGTTTGATTCAATCGAACCAAACAAGACAGGTGTAAATACACCCTTATGCTTATAAAATGAACTAGTAAAAAATGAATGCAAAAAAACACAAATTTCTTTGGTTGTGTTATTTCGTGTGTTATTAAGTGAACCATGAGTACCACTGGACCCCTCTCCAATAAAAAAATAAAATAAAATAAATTGGTGTATGATTCCCTGATTGTGAATTTTTATTTCTTATCTGCTGTCACCTTTTTCCTCCTCAAACAGACACAAGCCCAGAGACCAAATAAACAGAGAACAGACTTCAACAAATTAAAACCAAAACTGCTCCCTCAGGAAACCACCACCACAAGCTTCTTCACCGCATTTTGTGCCGCAGACATTATGGCCTGATCAATATGAACAATTATCTCTCATAGATCACACTGACTACGAGAAGAGAAGTGTTTGACTGTAACAATTTTGACACATCAGGCTGTGTTGCTGATCACTGGAAGAATTTGGATGCCCTAATGTTATTTATACTGTGGTGGGCTGCATTACTGGACATCAATTTTGAAAATAGTGCTGCTGTTGAGATGATGTCATTGCATTCAAGGAATTTGTTTCCTTGCAATTAAAAATAAATAATTCTGGAGGTGAAAAATGTTTATAAAAATGTACATAATACATCATATCATCAAGTTGAACAACATTATTTAAACTCTGCTATTTATTGTCTGCCATTTCTTTGTCACTGTAAATCGCTGTCAGTGTGAACAGCCATTAAAAAGTGCAGTCTAGTCCTGTCAAAAGTGACTGCTAGCTAGCAGGCAAGGGTCCAGCCATTATTAATTTCCCATGGTTCATCAGATGTATAGAGGAGCTGGAGATGCAGCACTAATAACGAGGAAATGCATCACCTATTGATTTACAAGTTTAATATCCGCTAGGATAGCAAAAAACAAAAAACAAAAAAAACTGCTTTCATTAACACAGTGTGAATCATTTCCTAGTAATACAAATGTTCGGTGTGATGTCCAGGTGAATCCACAGAGAAGTGTACAGGAGAGCTTTAAGCTCTGCAAATAGCTCAGAGGTCTGAGCAAACTCAATCCTATCACCGTGAACAAATAAAAAGAGTCTCTGATTGATCCTTTTTTATGACTCTGCTCTCTATAGCCGCTGTTATGAGGACTCTGGAGATCGTGCGGCTAAATTTAGGAGGTTCTGCAGATTGATTTCTGCTTCTCTCTTCTTCTAAACCCCCTCTCTCCACCTTCTGTAGATGCTTTGTGGTAAGATTGCAGTGTTGTGGATTGAATTTCTCCCCGCCACTCACCACAACTGTCAAAAGATAGGCTTTGACTGACAGCTGGGCTGAGCAGCTAGAGTTTGACTGACTGAGAGCTGCATGGCGGTGGTGTTGGCGTGTCGGATGGGAGATGGGGAAGCAAACGGCTCTGAGCTTATCGGACGCTAGCAGGTACCTTCATCTGCGGACTTGCTGAGATTGAGGTTTTCATCTATGAGTGCTGAAGAGTCTCTGAACACTTGTGACCTTTGATCTCTATCAATCCCAGCGAGCCTATGACAGCGACTGAGGATTGAAAGTGAAGCGAAAGGTGTCTTCCGTCTGATTGTAGGTGACATTCGTGAGCTTTACAACTTTAGTTTTAAATCCTCCTTCTCCGAAGTTTACTCGTAATTTTTGGGGGGTTAATCCAGAGTTAAGCAGCTCACCAGAACAAAGCAAGTGGCGTTCTGTGAGATTTCCACTCCTGAAACATTGCTTTACGATATACAGCATCCCTATATAATGTTCACTGTGATACCTGTAGAAGTTCACTTTACTTGACAAAATATGTTCATTTGGAACAGCTTGTAACATCAAACCCAGATTCTAAGTTTGAGGTATGAAACATAATATACTTTAGTGTAAATAATTATATACCAGAAAAGTTTTTACATAAGTTATTAGTTATGCCAAACTCAAATACTTAATTGTTTTTAAAAGTCCTTATCCCTTATGTTTAATTAGTAAATCATGAACAATCAGGAGTCATGTAAATTCATTGGATAAAAACAGTGGGGCCCCTGAAGAACATTCAGTTCCTAAAACTTCTGGAATCCTTTAATTAATATAATTAATTTTAATTATAATTATTTTTTAAATTTAATTATTTATTTATTATTTTATTTTAATTGTAGAAAGTAGAGTACATGGATTAAAAAACAGGTTAAAAAATACTAGGGCAAGGGGGGGTCTTTAAATATTGTTGTGGAGATGGGGGACCTTGGAGTCAATAGTGCTGATAACTTCTGATTTAGCATGCTTACATCGCAGCATGATGTCCACAGGGCTGGTCTCAGGTCGAGTACAGTGCCATTGTTTCAGAGTCACCATCTTTTTTTCCCTTGTTGCGACAGGGTGGCACAGCTGGCTGATAACCTGCTTGACTCGGATGTGTTTTACCACTCTCGCACACAGGCCCAGCATACTAACGCTGTAAAAGTACACCTTCTTAAATGAGCCTCAGGAGAGCCGGTCGCACCTAGCTGCCTTCAATATACAGGCCTGTCTTCGTAACTACAGCGCTGCCTCTGAAACATAATGCCAGCTCTTAGCAGAGAGCGAGTCTGACTGACTGCTAGATCCAGCAAGTGGGGGAAGATTGATGGTAAGAAGGGAAAACTGAGGTACAGAAAGTAAGAAACAGGAACAAAAAGAAAAGTGCCCTACCGTTATGTTTTGGATGCTGGTGTGATACACACCACCTTGGCCTACCAGCTTCACCAAACAAGACGTTCCTGGATGGCAAGCTAATTTAACATAGTTAGACTATCCACTAGCTAGAAAAGCACCAAATCAGCAGTTTGTGTGTGAGAGAAAAGCTCATTTCCGTAACTTAGTGAGCTGCCTTGATGCCTACTGCCAACATAAGTAGCTGTCTAAATATATATTAAGTAAAACTTAAAATAAAAATCACTTAAAAAAAACAACATTAACAAATAGAATACAAAAAAAAAATCAACTAGTTTTCAAGGCAAAATACCTCATTTTCATTTAGCTTAACTTGATGTACTAAAATAACTACAACTTAAATAAAAATTAATAATAAATATATCGATATACTACCCAGAACCCAAACCTTATAATCTATGACAAAAATATGACAAAAACACACAACAAAATTACTAAAACATGAACTACTTACAATGAAAACTGAATATATATATATATATATATATATAAA